ACTTTAATTATCTTTACACATTTCATACTAATTCAAATACATGCATACGCTCATATTTACTTGCAACTGAGCACATTATTTACAGTTTAGACCGGTTAAATCCATCTCAGATGTCTCGAAATACTGTAGTTTTCTTCGTCTTCTTCCTCTACTTCTTCTTCTTTGTTCACCGGCTGTAAGCTTCTGCGGAAAGTCCTGGTTGTTCTTCCATTTGGACTTTGTCGTTGTGCCAGGGCCTGAGTTGTCCGTGTTTATCAGTTTTACTGACTTATTTGCATCTGGTTGTTCCTTACTACTCGGAGAGATGTACTCTGACTTCGAAGGAATTCCCAAGTTAGTCGACTCATACGACAGGCATGTTGGGAAGGCCCTGGGTCTATTCTTGTTATCCACTAACATGGCACCCCGGAACCCACATTTCTACTGTGAAGAACGATTTGTTTATTCCCGGCATTTTCTTGCTCAAAATCTTATCTGGATATGTGGAGTTCCTGATAAGAAAAACTATTTCTAGGGGTCCTCGGTGAGTTCTTTTTATCAGGTGTGCTTTATATATATATACTGCACTTAATCAAGGGTTAGGCTTCTCTGAGAAAAATGTGTAAGGGGCTGAGAAAACATAATGTTTCCTTTGTACCAGGGCCCCTGTGCTAGCAATATATGTCCAAATCGGATCCGAGGGTCGTGGGTTCGGGACCCGACTGATCCAGACTTTTTCAAAAATGACTTTGGCTGCCAGGTCCAACTAGTCTTGGGTGGGTATCAGGTTCTGTCCTAGGAAGTAAAGGCGGCCGGTGTGAAGCTGACTACTAAGTACCGTTTGGTCTATAAAATTTAGGTCTAGCCCTATATGCCCAATACGCACAAAGGCGTGGAAAGGGTTCTTTATTTGCTCTACTACATCAAAAAATTCTCATCGATTTAAACAGAAACAGAGCCAGCAGTACACGGTGCGGCCCCCTCCCCCACCCCGCCCTCCTCCAGCTTGAATGACGCGAAGACTGATGCCTTCGGGCTTTAACAAGGACCGGGAAACGAACTTTATCTGATCTGATTAGACGGATAAAGGTTGCAATTTGAGAGGGATTCGTCCCTATCTTCTTAACTAACCTGAGGTTAGCACGAGACATATTTTCGCGCGCGCGCGCTTGTGTATGTGTATGTGCGAGCGTCTGAGGGACATTTCTGCTGATGAAAACGGCGTCTGTGGTTCTGAGAACCGCAACTACGTGGAGTGCATACATTTTAGAATATACATTTATTTGTGTCTTCGACAAGCCACGTGTGCCTTGAGAGCACAGTCTGTAAGGGTCATTTTTAGTTAAAGTGGCGCAGTGGTAACACAGTGACTTGATTCATGCCTGCTGGTCCGAGAGTTCGAATCACTATGGCGAATCTTTTTTCCCCTGCAGACTCAGCTGGAAGTGGTTATCCGCAAATTTGTGAAAGCACAGGCAGACGGCGAAAAATTGAACCAATTCACCCTTTGAATGGCCTATTACATTGTAGACCTAGCATCACATCCACCATGAGTAGGGTGACCATAATATTTTGAGCCGAAAACGCAACATTCTGCTAATATTTTGAGCTAAAAACTAGGACTGTACCGAATATTCGCTTCGTATTCGCTTCGGGCCGAATAGTGAACCTATTGACTATTCGGTATTCGGCCGAATAGTTGCAGTCGGGCCGAATACGAATAGTAGGTACCTTACACCCGCTTCTGCATTCACGGTCTTAATACTGACAACATAGAACGATTGGTTTTGTTGAAAGCTAATGCAGCTTTCATGCATTAACTAAGTTGTCAGTGACAATTGTCAAGTTTAGTTACTTGTAATATTACTTAGGATTCTTTCATTCCTAGTTATTAGTTACAACGGACTGACAGAAGACAGAAAAGTAAAACTGTATACACCTAATAGAGGAATGGGCGTAGACCACGAGGCAGAAAGAAAAAAAAAAGATCGAGAGATAATGTCCAGCCAGACCTGCAAACAACTGGTGTCACAAATTGTGAAGAAAATGCCAGCCAGAGAGATGAATGTAGACGAGTGATAATTGCAGCAGTATACCTCAAGGGCTCAGAATGCTAAAGAAGAAAATGACTATCATGTGCTACTTTATGTGAAGTAAAAGTTCAGTGTACATTTGACATTATGCATGTGTGTATGTGCTTCATATATATATATATATATATATATATATATATATATATATATATATATATATATATATATATATATCATACACTATTCGTATTCGTATTCGGCTGAATAGTTGGTCCCGTTATTCGTATTCGGCCGAATAGTGAAATTCACTATTCGGTACAGCCCTACTAAAAACTGGACCTTCTACTAAAATGTTGAGCTGAAAACGGTACATTCTACTATTTGGAGCTGAAAAGGGATATCCCATGAAAATCAGTTCACCTATCTCTTTTTTAGGTCACCGTGGTGAACGGGTTAATTACTAGCTCGACATTGGCATTAAAACCCGACTAATTGTCGCCAAGAAATAAACCAAACAATATGTTCTTTCACTGCACGTGGACGGGGCGGGGGGGGGGGGGGGCGGCAGGGTTACAGTAATGAAAATTCTCATCTGCACGTCTTAGGCATTAAAAGTATCTACAACTATAAAATCTAATAAGTTCTACGATAAACTATAAATGTTTGTTCTATTCTGGAAATAATTTAAAAAAATAAATCTAAAACGGAACAATGGAAGGTTTTTGTTGTATGTGTGTGTGTGTGTGTGTGTGTGTGTGTGTGTGTCTGTGAGTGTGTGTGTGTGTGTGTGTGTGTGTGTGTGTGTGAGTGTTTGAGTGTGTGTGTGTGTGTCCGTGAGTGTGTATGTGAGTGTGTGGAAAACATATACACAGACACTAATTGCCGTGACAGAAGTAGAGGAATGAAACATGGTTAGCGACCAGGGAGTGCAATCGGTCCTTAAGAATAAGAGTCAAGCATTCAATACCAAACTAGCGTCAAAATGGACCTTCAATTTATTTTACACAATGACACAATATGCAGTTTGTTCTTCTCTTCTGCCTTTCTAGCCACCCAATTGAGCATAGGCTTTCAACTAACTCAGGCCAAGTTGTTCTATCTTTCGCTATCGCGTGCAGCTCTCGCCATGTCCTCCTTCTCTTTTTAACTTCACCCTCTTTCTACCTTCTCCATGTGGCTTTTTTCCCCCTTTATTTCTGTTTGTTTCAATGCATAGACATTATAATACATTGTTTTCAGGTTTTCTCAACGTGTGTCCTGTCCAACGCAAGCGTCTTTTCGTCCCTCTTGTTCCACCGGAACTTGCTTAGTTTTCTACCAAAGCTCTGCATTTGTACTTCCTTAAAATTTGCCGTGTCCTCGAAATTGTTTATGAGCCAACACTTTTTGATCTAAATCGACATTCTGATCAGATATTAAAGCAACCAAGAGGTTAATAGGTCATGAATGATCATTATCATCATCCCGAAACACTACGTGTCGTTGGGTCACCAGTTTCTGTTGACTGTCTGATCATCTCTCTCCACTTTTGGCGGTCAGTTGCGATGGACTTCACGTTTGCATGCCTGAGGCCTGTCCAGTCAGTCAGGTTTTGTAACCAGGTCTTTCTTGGTCAGCCCCTTCTCCTCTTTCCCTCTACTGAGCCCTGCAGTATTGTTTTTGAGAGGCCGTTAGATCTTATTACATGTCCATACTATTGCATTCTTCGCCTTTACACTGTAGTTAAAAGAGGTTCATAGTTGCCAGTTATGTCATCAATAAATGCAATTATTAATAAAAAAAATATAATATATTTTCTCACTTTCAACGTCTTGTTATTTGATAACAAAGCATATGCTCGCACGTTATTCTGATGAATTTTTTTCCTGTGATTTTTAGCAGGGACCTCAATGTTATACAAGGTCCGACAATTGAGTAATGAGACTAATTCCATAAAAATTAAAATTATCAACAGTTGAAGATATAACCTGTTTCTGATTCAAAGTGCATTGATACAGGAAGTGGCAGGATATAAAAAACACTGGAACGACCTCTGTAGTTCTTCTGTTGTTATGGCCCTTAAAGTCGATGTTATGGTCCTTTGAATGTAATCAATATCGTTAAAGAAGCGTTTTTTTAATCGTAACTTTAACTTTGGGGATAAAAAATAATCACAGGGAGACAAATCTGAGGAATAGGGTGGAAGGCTGAGAATACACACTTGTTTTGGGAACAACAATTCTTGTTTTGATGATGTCTCTTGGGTACTCAACCCGTTGATGTTTTTGGTCATCAAACAAGGAATGTGGTACAAATCGGCAAGCAAATTTTCTCTTGCAAATATCTTGCACTAAAATGTTATGAATGGTCTCTCTATTAACACCAGAGTCATCTGCCATCATCCTCACAGTAAAACAATGATCTTCTTGTATCCGTTCTCTGACTTTTGCAATGAGTTCATCATTGCGAACAGAAATTTATCGTCCAGGTCTAGGTGCATTAGTAATAATTTCCACACCATTTTTGAACCGTGAATACCATCTGAAAATTTGTTCACCAGATAAACAATTATTCCCATAAACTTGTTGCATCAACTGAACTGTTTCAATGGCGCTTTTTCCGAGTTGTAAAATTTAATGTTAGCCTTTTGCTCCATGCTGATTACGTAACAATGCACCTCTGACTGGGTCAACAAAATGGCATCTTGTTTGTTGTCTGCTTATCGAGCGGCGATGAAAAGTTGCCAGATCATAGATGAATGTTGCCTCTTTAGATTCCATGCTTTGCTTCATAGATGGCATTTTTGTCTTGGCCATAATAAAATCAGTCTCATTACTTAATTGTCGTACTTTGTATAAATAAATTTATATAGTTTTGACATTCAGGACATCGGTAAGTCTGCAACTGGCCACGTTTTTATAATGACAGAAAACAAACTGCTTGCAGAGAACTGGAAGTATTGATTGATCCACAAAACACTACTCCCACAAAATGCGAAGAATACAGAAGGTCACTGTGATTAATGAATATGCTTTTGTATCATTTATTAATAATAGCTGCAGGACGGCCAATAATCAGATGGATATATTCTGTCAAGGCTGTGCTATCGCGCGCGGACGCAAACACACAGGCAGACACACATTCATTTCTGAAGAGGTGACACACACAATTCAGTATATAAGAAGTTAACTCTCTACCTTTTTAATGGTTAACTTCTTCTGTCCCATTCTTCTGATATGCTCATCATATCTACACTGTGGCTACTTTAACTCATTAACTCATTCTTTTACATTTTTCTAGAATTATAATTCCCTGATACTCGAAGCATTAAACTTCTAGTTAGAAAATATTTAATTAATCATTGTATGGATACCGACAGAGTTAACACTTTGAGTCCCAAACAACGCATGATGTGTGAATCCCTATATTTGCTGAATCCCCTCATTAACATATTATGTTCTATTACTTTTTGTATTTGGTAAGAATACACGTAATAAATCAGGCTTGTCACGTAGTCACTACTACTGCTATATTAGCGCTTTGAAAACAATGCACAGACAAATTTTAATCACATATATTTCTTTGTCGGCGTCTGGTGCTTAGGCGTCGCGAACGCGCTTCGTAATGCCGGGTGCCGGTTCGATCTTAGCTGCGGGCCTTGAGCCTTGCGTTGGTTTCGACGGATTGATTTGATTTGATTTGATTCAAGAACCGACATCACAGCACTCGGGGCATTCCCATAAGCGCTCCGTCTCCATCTTCAGCGGCTAGCGAAGAGTTCTGATACTAATGGTGCCAGTAGCTCTCTGATTAAACGTCCGTCTTGTTTTTCCTCTGAGCCTCGAGCTTCTGCCAGAACCTCTCGTCACTTCCAACTGCATCAATCTCACCAGACTGTGGTGATCCATCTGCTCCTCCGAATTGTACACGCTCTCCCACAAGGCACTAACCTCGTCTGCCCTATCATGTGTCAGTATTCCACCAAGTTGTGCAGAGCCAGCCAATCTGTCCGCCTGTTCATTTCCCAACACACCGGCGTGACCCGGTGAAAAAATCCAGACAATACTCCTCACTCGTGTCATCCGCAGCGAAGCATGCCACTCTGCACGAAGCATACCTGTTCTGATCTTCCTCAGCATGCTTTCTGAATCAGTTACAATCACGATGTGTGTGTGTGTGTGTCGTGTTCTCTAGCCAGCGTAAAGCTGCAGTGACCGCCTCCACCTCCATTCTTAAGCTGGATGTTGTGGGATCATATGCTAGGCTCTCCTGCACCAAACGTCGACCATTAACTTTTGCTAAGAAGCCCCAAGCACTTCTTTTGCCTCTTGACACTGAACCGTCTATGTAAATGATCAAATCCTCCAAGCGAGCATTATCTTGAATTAATTGCTAAAATTTCCACCTCCGTGGCACCTGCTGGCCAGTCTCTGCATTCCCGGCTCAGCGGGATTATGACTCAACACAGGTCTGACTGCTCAGGTGGCACTTTGACCCACTCCTCTCCTCGCCTAATGTTCTCAAGGATGCAAACCTTTTTGATTGTGTACTCTGCCTGAGCCATCCATGACCTCCCTCTTATCAGCCGCTGACCCTTAACTGCACCCAGAGCTTCATGCGGAGGGTGGTCTGTGTCTGCAGCTACCCTGAGATATGACTTTGCCTGCAGCACCTTGTGCCTACCTGCAACCATCGGCAAACCAAGGATGTATCGCATACACACCAGCGGGGTGTCTCTGGTGCAACCCAGAATGACCCGCATAGCCGCGTTCTGTATGCGCTCTAGTTTGTCCATCTGACTCTTTGAGACGGTAAGCAGTCCCAGGCCATAATCCACCACTTACAGGATCAGGTGCTGATATAGTGTGAAAAGTATTCTCTGCTCTATGTCAATTGCAGCCAAAGTCTTAAGTGCACTAAGTCCTTTTTGGCATCTCGTCACAACACTCTCCACATGGTCCTTAAATGACAGGCTCCTGTCAAATGTAATTTCTAGATACTTCAGTTTGCTCTCTCTGTTGACGTCTCTACCATCTATCGTGAGACTTGGGACATTAGTTTTAACGATTCTGTTATCCAGAGAACACAGAGAAAACAGACGTCTTTTCCGGGTGGACGACAGCCCTCATTTCTGTACACCACTCACTTTGTCTACTGTCGCTTGTAGCTCCCGAGCTGTTTGTTCCCTCTTTTCCCCCTGCCTATATGCAAGCATATCATCCGCAAAAGTCAGTATCCTTCCAGCTCCTGGTGCTTCTAGGCCTGCAATCTTGCTCGTATACACGTTGAAGAGCACAGGCGAGATGGCGGATCCCTGTGGCAGTCCTAGGGCCAAAGTGCATGGTTCAGAGATCCATGAGCCCAGTCGGAGAGTGACCCGACGTGAATACAGGACAGCTGCAACCCAATTCACCAGCCATGGATTGACCTCCTTCTCCCTCAGTGCAGTCATTAAGATGTCGTATCTCACTCTGTTATAAGCATCCTCGAGATCCAGTCCTACCGCCATAGTTTCCTGTCTGTTCTGGAACCCTTCATAGACGTCAAAAGCAAAAGTGGCCGCATTTGCCCAAGTGTCCTTTCCTGGCCTGTAACTTTCCAGACCTCTTGGGAGAAGCTTCCCCCTTTACCAAAAATTCTTGTAACTTTACAGCAACTATCTTCTCTAAACCTTCCCAAATGTGTTTTGTAAGGTGATGATTCTAAAGCCACTAAGCTTTAAATGATTTTTAGAAGGTTTTGGTAATGGTATTAGATAGCTGTGCAGCAAGTCTTGCGGTACTGATGTTGTCTTAATACTCTGGTTAAAACAACTGGCCATCTCTGCCAGGTCTACATCGCTCAAAGCCTTCATTTGACCATACCTGACACCTTCAGGCCCTGGTGCAGTGTCTTTTGCTTTTTTCAAAATTTGCTTAATATCTTCCACTTGTATCATGTCTTCATAATGTATATTCTTCAAGGTGCCAGCTAACACCTTTCTAACTGCATCTCTGATGTCTACATCATTATGATCTGCTGGAGCTATAAGCCTATGGAGAAAAGCTTCCCCTTTCTCCTTGTCTGTTGTCACACGCACACCATCGTCTCTACAAATTGTTCCGACTGTCATAGGCCGATCTTTTCTTTGCATCTGCCTTTGCAGTTTCCAGAATATCCATAATGTTTTATCGCCTCCCATATCATGCACAAAAGTTTCCCACTTTGGTCTTTTGGCCTCTGCAGCACAGCGCTTGAAAACCTCCACCGTATCTTTTTTTTTTTTCACATTCTCCGCCATCTCCACTTTCTCTCATGAGCTTGAGGGTGTCTGTCGTACTTTCTTTAGCTGCTTCACTGCGACTCTCTTTGCCTTCCACGCCTGTTCTACTTCTGGAGTCCACCATGGGGGCTGTAGAAAATTAGTCCTGGCAGTTCTTTTGCATGCTCCCTGTCTGAGGCGTCCAAGTAGGTTGTTGGTCCACTTATACTGGAAGGTCTTGCGTGCTCTCCCAACCTTAACCTTACTGGGTTTAGAAATCAAGACTGAACATGGTAGGTGATCACTCCCATGGTCATTCAGGACAGTCCATTTAACATCTAAAACCGACGACTGAGAGACAAATGTCAAGTCAATGGCTGTGTCTGCATCTCTAGACCTCATTGTCATTCTAGTCGGCCTCTCAACATTGATGCAGACCATATCGGAGTCAACCATGGCCTCTGCAAGAGCAATTCCCTGTCGGTTTTCTCCACTGCTGTCCCATTCTCTGTTCCTCACGTTGAAATCCCCACATATGAGTAACCTATAACCTGGTAACTCCTCCAATTCCTTGAGCCAGCTCCATTGTTCACTTCTGACAAAACAGTCTACCTTGCCATATATATTTATGAGGTTCCAACTTAAGCCACCAATTTCCACCTGAATCCCTTGAACCTCTCGTCCACTGTGGTTCCACTGGTTTCGACGGTGATATCGAGAAGCCGACCATCCAGGAAGCAATGGCAAACTACTGGACGTAAATTTGGCTAGAAAAACCACATCAGTCAAAAAATGCTGGGAGTGGTTCTGCAATGTCCCGTAAAGGATACGCTACTAATATTTCTTTACTGGCACTCTCCTATTTAACCTTCCTCTGGTTTTGATAAAGTTAAGTCTTGAGATCGCTTCAAGCAGATTTCGAAATATATTACCACAGTTTGCCTCGCTAGATGCGATTTGTACCAGAGGTGTTCATAGAGTATTACCCAACATTTTTTATTTTTGTTTTTCGCAAACTCACGGTCATTAACGGGGGTGAAGGGGGAAGCGGGGGTCAGTTCAGCAAGATCTAATGACGACTTACACTTCAAAGTGATTTGTGTTACTTGTCTCTGCTAAGACGCTCATATCATACGTTATTAATGCTGAAGATCACCTAATTTAACGCAAATGTTATTTTCTTTCTCCTGACTACAGTTGTCCAAGTGTTTTAATGTACTTTACCGATAGCCTGCCCACACAAAGGTCAATGATTCTAATCCGTATTAGGGTGAATTTTTTTAAACAAAATTGACTAAAATGGGTCACAGGTAATATACTGGGAAGTAAAGGCGATCAGTACGATGTTTCCCGCTTCGTTTATCGAGAAAGCTCAAAGAATAGAATAGGAAAGGCGCGCTCAAAAACAACCGAATGTTTCCACCAAAGTCTTTAATTACGAAGAACTGAAAACATCAAAGACGAAAATCTGTTTACGTCACACATCGAGTGCTGATATGTCTATACAAATATTAGTTAGTTTGTTAGCTATACAAATAGCTGGTTAGCTAGCTAATTAGTTAGTTAGTTAGTTCAGTTGGTTGGTTGGTTAGTTAGTAAGTTTTTCAGTTAGTTGGTTAGTTAGTAAGTTATTCAGTCAGTTAGTTTGCTGGTTGGTTGAATGGTTAGTTAATTAGTTGGTTATTTGGTTAGTTGGATAACTGTTAATTCAGTATCCAAATATCACTGTGATGGCTAAGACAAGAAACAACGGAGCTCACACAGCTTTGTTATTCATGTCTGCTTGAGCTGAAAATCCGAATTAGGAGTACAAATACATTCAATTTAAACCTCGCTTCTATTTGTTAGGAGAGCAGCTTGATAAAAAGCCAAAATCAGTGAATTGTCACTATTCATCACCCTAATTTGACTTCTCTATCTTTCCATCATTAA